CACGGACACGATGTTAAGGCGTCCTTGCAAGTGGAGCACACCACGAATTCACTGTAGTTGCTGTTGCTCGTCCGGAACTCTTGGTGGAGCACGCCACGCGTGTCCATAGCCACGCCACGCGCGCTCATCGCGCGTCTGCAGAATCTCTTTCCCCGCCGACGTCACATGATTGCTGACAGTGCAAAGGGAGAGGCCACAGTGTCTTACCCAGACCCTTAGGCCGGAACGCACTAAAGCGTGAGACGGGCCTGGCAGTGCTTCAGCCAGCTGTTGCGCAGGCGCAGTAAGGCGTGTCACGCGCACCGAATTGAGCTCGGTTATAAGCCATTTCGGTCTTACACGGAAAAGTCCAATCGGTCTTAAACAGAACCAAAGAACAGTTCCGCCTAACAGAATGGAATTCTCTGGTTCTAACGTGCCAAAAGTCCCATACAAATGCGAAGAACACCGTTGTGTAAGTGTGCGGACTGAGTTTGACCAACTGTGGCTCTCTAGCGTCAGTCTAAATAGTTCACAAATGCGCTTGCATTACACTTTCAATTAGATTAGATTTGTGGGGTTTAACGCCCCAAAGCCACCATATGATTATGAGAGACACCGTAGGGGAGGGCTCCGGAAATTTTGACCACCTGGAGTTCTTTAAAATGCACCCAAATCTGAGTACATGGGCCTACAACATTTCCGCCTCCAACGGAAATGCAGCCGCCGCAGCCGGGATTTGAACCCGTGGCCTGCGGGTCAGCAGCCGAGTACCTTAGCTACTAGACCACCGCGGCGGGGTGCATTACACTTTCAATAGGACAGGGAATGGAACCCAAATGCTCGAGCTTAGCAGCACGACACTTCAGCCACTAAGCGGCCGCGGTTGGTAGATGGTTGTCAATAAATATCACCAGCATGTGCGAGAGTATGGTTGCAGGTGCATCGGAAATTTTGAGGATGATTGCCACAAGCGTGCACTTGCGCAGGTTCTGGTCCGGCCGATGGAGGCGCGCCACCGTAGAGGTCGCTATACCTATTATGTCAGCGCATGTTCAAGAACACCACACAGGCTGTCGAAATTTCTGGAAACGTCCACTACGGCTGGTCTCGTAATCGCACGGTGGTTTTGACATGCAAAATGGTAAAATTTGTTATTGAACAAACGAACCGCAAAATACAGTGTGTCTTGACTCTTTTAACTTATATATGTTCAGTCGTCATGCTATATACGGGCGCAGGCCGACATTGCAGAAAGTTTATTAGGAAGGGAGGGGGGGGGGGGCACCTTGGTTTCGGGGAGGAGGGGCGTGAAATAGTCTATTCGGGAGATAGGACATGGGCTCGGTGTGTCACAGTGGCGTGCCGCAAATTTTTTTAGGTGTTACAAATATATCAAATCCAGGGGCGTAGCCAGAAATGTTTTTCGGGTGGGGGGGGGGTCACACTGACTCGACTGGGGGGGGGGGGGACACAAACAACAGCTTTCCTTTGTGACGTGACTATCGGTGGTAACTTGAGCAGATTGTGTACGTGTATGCATATCAAAGTCATGAGACTCCCCCCCCCCCCCCCTTCCGTATGCGTATATGCTTATATTTTTGACAAGAGAGTAAGTAAACGTAAAGTAATAGCAGTGCAAACAGGTACAGAGGTCATTTAGAGCAACGGCCTCTCGTCACACCAATGAATAAACTAGTCTTCGAAAACGCATTATTGCGGCGACCCGCCCGTTCGAAGAAGACATCGTAAATCGTATGTTAAGCGTACATTAGATGGCGTGGTCCTCGTAGGGGCGAAGTGCGTTTCACAAGGCAAGATAAGCTCCGCTTACAACGTGGAATGAGAGTGACCGCATGCCTATGGGAATTATATCTATGTTCAGCTCCATATTTCTAGCAGTCCTGACGCACTAATAGATTTTAGTCAACATTTCTTTAGTTTACTGCGCGCATCCACGCATGCATAAACTTCAGTGCTCGCGAATCGAAGTGCGACGGCCCCCCGCCCCCTGTTCTCCTTTTTGCCCCCATTTTTTCTCGGTATAAGAAATGCTATCAGCTCATCATCACCACGTCATATAGCTGCTGACATAACCACTTGAGGTAATGTTAGCCCTGACACAAGTATTCGAGTTAAAATTCTAACCGTTTGATTCGAACTGTGGAGACTTTGTAAACGAAAGGACAAGTATAAATTAGCCCTACATTTTCGTGTTTGAATGAGCAAGTAACCGGTCTAAGCAGACTCGCGCATCCATACTATCTACGCACATTAGTTTTGGAATGATTTTGCAGCCTTTCCTATTCCTGGATTCATTTAAATCGCCCGCTACATTTACCACTTGCTGGTTATTGAACCGATAGACCATAGAACTAACTTTTTTTGTCATTTTTCATCTTGGGTTTCTTCGCGTGATCAGTGAAATCAAATGCGAGAAAAAAAAAGACATCCAGAAAACTTTTGACTGAACTTCTAAACTTTCGTTGCCTCTAAAGAAAACGATGTATACATACAACAGTGGACAGGGGAGTAGTAAGCGCGTCGACAATCGTTCTCTTCCTGCCACAGCGTAACTTTCCGTGCTGTGGCTGCTGAGTTTATCGCAGAGGTATTAATAAACCAATAAGGCGTCGTCCTCTAGGTCCCATCTAAATCTCGACGCTGTGAAGGACGTCATACTCGTACCCAACAGAATAGTGGATTGAATGATGCTCCCTGCTTCTTTTTTTATTGCCGTGAGGGTGACTGATACGAGGCTTATTGCCGGACACTAGAGAAGAGTTATTGCGCTTGGGATAGAGCCGGAACTCAGTGAAGGTGCGCTATCTGCCTTTCCGTGCGTCGGAACATATTCAGCGTCAGCCAATCAGTGAGCCTACTACTAGAAGCGAGCTACCAAAGAGAACAAAAGAAAGCACGTGATTTAAGATTACTTTTACGGCGCCAGAGCTGCCGCAAAGCTTGCCGTAATACATGCCACCAATTAGAGGGTTGAAGGTCAACTATGGTATAAACCGAATTTTATCATCACAAGAACTCCCCCTTGTCGAGATGAAAAAGCAAGGAGATGGCAAATAAAGACAAAACAGACCTTGCGAAATAGAAAATTGACAGAACAGCTTGTGGAGTGCTAGGTGGAGCATACTGTAGATAAAGGCGGTGCGGCGAAGTTGAGATAACGAAAAAAGCTGGACTACAGAGACAGAGACGAAGCGCATCTAACAACTGAATTTAGTGAAACGAAAAGACAAAAAGAAAAAAATACAAAGGGGGCGAGAGAACTTCCCCCGTCCACCCTCTCCTCATTTTTGTTTTGTCTTGTCGTTGCATTAAATTCAGTTGTTAGATTCAGTTGTCGGTGGGTTGGAGTTGTCGGTGGTTGTCGGTGGGTTAAAGGAACGTGCTTTGGCTAAGCACAGGACACTGCCTCTAAATGTACGCGCCAAGTTGAAGTATTGAAGTGCCACGCATAATGCGTTGCGAAGGCATCAGCTGCCCTGCGCCGTATGGATCAGTGACTGCATTTCACGATGCAAGAGTGGAACTGCGTTTCACAACGCATGTTTGCTTGGTTCAGAATCCCTGCTTTGTTTTGAATGCCGACGGAGTGTAACTCTGTCAGCCTTCGGAATTTCACTACATATAAGGATGACCACGTTATTAAAATTATATTCAAGGAAGTGCCGTAGCGGACGATGAACGAAGGATTGATGGGCAGCTGATTAAAGATGCAGCCTAACTTACGCACCCGTGCTGTTTTTATCAGGTGATTAAATGCAGTTCTTTCTTTCTCTTATACTGTATATATTTTCAAACTCTTGTATTTAAACGTTAGTTGGAAGTTCAGTGCTCGTGCCTGTCATAGTTCTGTCCTTGTTGTAAAAGTTTTGCACTTTATAGCTTGTAATCATGAATTACTTGCTAGACCGAAGCAGTGCCTTTCTTGAAGGAAATATGTGAGTGCTGACTGGGGATTTATCGAATGAGCACATACCTCCGCTTGGAAGTGTGCGTCTTTGTTGTCTTTCTGTTCATTGCTCGCTACTGTGCTGGCCATTGAACATGGATCAGAAACGAGCGCAATCTCCATCTTTGCTTCTTAACACCAACCAGGAGTCTTTTCGACGCGTGAAAACACAAATACTAAAAAAACATAAAAAATGATACGGCGAGAACAGAACACGCTTTTCAAAAAGTGTGGGTCACGGGAAATACGTCTTTTTTTGTTTGTTTAACCAGATTTTCAATGGAGACTACGCTTCTTGTGATGTGCTTACGCTGTGATGGGATTCAGTTCCCAAGAGACGAGATATTCTTTCAAATGATCTATTTAACGCTCTCGGTCAAATGATACCGATTACTAAAGGAGCTATGGAAATGTAATTAGTGAGACAATGGTTCAGTGTTCGATTGAGGCGTGGCTGCCTTTGTTTCCACTTTACAATTTTTCTCTACTTGTTAATTCTGTGTGTGGGTTATTGAAGAGCATCCCTTACCATATCTTGAATTCTTCATTTTTATTTATCTATTTCTCTTTCTGTTCTGTGTACAGCCTACATTTCCCCACCCCTGTGCAGGGTAGCAAACGGGTTACTTCAATCAGATTAACCATCCTGCGTTTTCCGTTTAATCTATTTCTCTCTTTTCGAGTTACGTGCATTTCAGTTTGATACAATGGCAACTAATAAAATAGTAAACCTATAGTATACATCGTGTTCTTGTACAGTCGCCCAAATCTTTAACTATTGTATCTTGCACGAGCAAAAGTCCTTACTGTGTAGCTTCGCCGCATCCCTGAATTAGGTTTCGAAAGTGGTGAGGTCTAGCGCATTCCGTAGAAATCCGACCCCCCCGCCCCCCCCCCCCCCCATTCGTTTTTGATCAACGTTCCATCCGTCATATCGCGCTGACAGACCAAAAAGTCGCCGCTGCGTAGGGTTGTCAGCAATTTGTGCGGTTGTACTCTTCTATCGAATTTTTCATTATAGTTCTGCATGCTTCGGCTGCTGTTATCTTACTTGAGGAATATAAGCCGACCTCCGTCACCGGCGATCTGCCACATGTTGCCGAAGCCTCCCAAGTGATAGACGCCCTGCGAACAGTAAAGAACACCAGAAGGGGAGCACTTTGGCATCGCTGGAATCTTGATGGGCAAGGTTTCGTTGCACGCACTTAGAATAAAAACCACGCATTCACTTCAAGCAGTCCAGCGTTTTGATCAGGTTCTGATAGGCATGCCGCCATGTCGTGTACGATGCTACATTACCAAAAAGAATGACAGGAAAACTGTATATACCCATTTTCTTCGTTCAGCGAACTAGGAGCGCAGAGAAAACACAAAGGACGAAGCGAGGAACCACACAACACGAGCGCTCAACTAACAACTGATTTATTTTCCACATCGGAAGGACATATATAAACACAAAATGCGCATGTCAAAAAAGATTATGACGAAATCAAGGGCAGCATGCGAAGCGTGTAATCAAGGCACATGTCTAAGGGTTATCTAGGTAGCTGAATTCACAGTCAAGTAGTGAGAGGGAAGGATGACTTATACATTGGTCCGTATTCCTGGAAATGTGATAGGCTTCAGAAATTTCGCGCGTAGTTTGATGAGGATGCCGGAACAGAACAATTGTATTCTCAAACAGAGGTTGGCACTTGCACGAAACGCAATGTGACGCTAAATGGGAGTAAGGTGTACTTTTCAACGAGCTTCTGTGTTCCTGAGACGCACGTTCACACATCGGCCGGTCTGGCCAATGTACATCCGTCCGCAAGAAAGGGGTATCTTATATACTACTCCGGTGATGCACTTAACAAACTTAGTTACGTGCTTCTGGAGGCATCCTCTACCTTTAGATGCATTATGTGCCCTCCTGTGCACCATTGAACATATACTGGCCAATTTATTGGGTGCCGAGAAAACCACGCGCACACCGAACCGGTTTCCCACGTTTTTAACCCATGGGCCATTTTATGAATGTAGGGGATTACTGCCGCGCGCTTCTTATTCCCTTCCTTGTTCTCTGAAGAAGTACATGTGCGTTTTCATTATTTTTGACCGTACGCAAGAGCTTTTCACAGACTGAGGCTATTACGTAGGAAGGGTATCCCTACGTAATAGCCTCAGTCTGTGAAAAGCTCTTGCGTACGGTCAAAAATAATGAAAAACGCACATGTACTTCTTCAGAGAACAAGGAAGGGAATAAGAAGCGCGCGGCAGTAATCCCCTACATTCATAAAATGGCCCATGGGTTAAAAAACGTGGGAAACCGGTTCGGTGTGCGCGTGGTTTTCTCGGCACCCAATAAATTGGCCAGTATATGTTCAATGGTGCACAGGAGGGCACATAATGCATCTAAAGGTAGAGGATGCCTCCAGAAGCACGTAACTAAGTTTGTTAAGTGCATCACCGGAGTAGTATATAAGATACCCCTTTCTTGCGGACGGATGTACATTGGCCAGACCGGCCGATGTGTGAACGTGCGTCTCAGGGAACACAGAAGCTCGTTGAAAAGTACACCTTACTCCCATTTAGCGTCACATTGCGTTTCGTGCAAGTGCCAACCTCTGTTTGAGAATACAATTGTTCTGTTCCGGCATCCTCATCAAACTACGCGCGAAATTTCTGAAGCTTATCACATTTCCAGGAATACGGACCAATGTATAAGTCATCCTTCCCTCTCACTACTTGACTGTGAATTCAGCTACCTAGATAACCCTTAGACATGTGCCTTGATTACACGCTTCGCATGCTGCCCTTGATTTCGTCATAATCTTTTTTGACATGCGCATTTTGTGTTTATATATGTCCTTCCGATGTGGAAAATAAATCAGTTGTTAGTTGAGCGCTCGTGTTGTGTGGTTCCTCGCTTCGTCCTTTGTGTTTTCTCTGCGCTCCTAGTTCGCTGAACGAAGAAAATGAATTACCAACTGGCCCACATTTTGATCCTTTTGTATATACCCAATGATGATAATTGATTTGAGGGGTTTAACCTCCCAAAACCACCATATGATTATGAGAGACGCCGTAGTGGAGGGCTCCGGAAATTTTGACCACCTGCAGGGGCTCTTTAACGTGCACCCAAATCTGAGCACACGGGCCTATGACATTTCCGCCTCTATCGAAAATGCAGCCGCCGCAGCCGGGATTTGAACCCGCGACCTGCGGGTCAGCAGCCGAGTACCTTCGCCACTAGACCACCACGGCGGGGCTGTATATACCCAAGGGACCCAGAAACTTGAGAACAATACTGGAAGAAAACATAGCTGCTGTTTGCACTTCATGCAAACACCAGCTATGTTTCTTTCTTGAGCCTTCTATCTGATGGTTATGATGATGATTTGAGGCTGATCCCTTTGTATAGTGTGGGCAAAATTATTTGTCACTACTCCCCCCCCCCCCAAAAAAAAAAACACTGAAAGTAAATAAAATAAGACACTCCTAAGGCGTACACACCCCGTACCAAATCGTACTTAGGTTACAGGAATTTAATTTTTCTACGTAAATCAACAACGTTGCATCACGCGCCACCACTGCACCATGTCTTGATATAATGTTACTTTATATGCTACCGACCAGACACAGTAACTCTATCCTCATATGAGGAGCCTTCATGTGCCTGCCTGAGGCACGCACATGAAGGCTTCCTATAGTAGGATAGTCCTATATTAGGATAGGAAGCCTTCATGTCTGCGCCTGAGGCGCTCACACGAAAGCTTTCTATCTTGATATATCTTCGTAAGCATGGTGGCGCCATCTATGAACTGCGTATGTAGGACGTCACGAGCGCTAAGGAGCACAAGCAATCAGCGCTGCCGCGTTCAACCAACTCTGTAAGTCCGTGACCTCAAACGTTCTCCGCAGTGGCAGTTTGCGGAACAGAAGACACGTGTAAACGATCAGACGCCGCGTTTTACGCAACTGGGCGTTAAAGGGACATCAATGTGAAAAAATGACTTTTACTCGCATTACTAAATTACCGCTTTCACAATGTCGGAAACACAGCTTTGGCCGCTTTATGACGCTCGTTAGGCAAAAAAAAAAGCACGTAAAAGTTGAACAGAGGTGGCAATGCTACTTTGAAATCGCCGCACCTGGTCACCGTTACGTCGTAGATTATGACGGCACTTACAAGCCTGCGGTATCGGTGAACATGAGGTAAAATTCCAGTAAACGTTACGTACGTTTACGGCAAAAAGGGGAAGTAAATTGTCCTTTCAGGGGTATTATAGACTTAACCTACCAAAACTCGGGATTTTTCGTGTTTAGTCAATGTGGTGGTCATAGCCCTCTCAGACGCCATTTAATAAAAACTGCCTGGAAATACGTCAAATTGTCACAGCATGACTTTAAGGCCATGTATATTCTATTGAAACATCAATAATCTTACTATACATTGATTCATGCATTTTATAGCAGTCAATTGAAAGTAAGCTCTAATTAAATGTTCACTTATCCTGAAGACAATCATGATTGGTTCTTGTATATATAGAATCAAATCTCAAACTAGAAGTATAGTGCAAATTGGTTTCTGGTTTTGTTGATATTGAGGAAAAAACATATTTCGACGTTGCTCTTGGGAAGGGCCACGTGGAATGACTCGTCGACTCTAGTAGGGCTTTCAGAAAAGTGCTTACGTGCAACAGTACGACAAAAACTGCACTTAATTGAAGACAAGTTTATTAGAAAGGAGGTTTATTTCATTTAAACTCCATCGTATCGTGCACGCTTGTAGCCCCTAGTTGACACAACTAGCGAAAACAAGTGATGTACACAACTTTGTACAAAGCGTCTGAAAGGCCGAAGGAAAAAAATACTGAAATTCGGTACGTTCCAGGGTTGTTCGATAAGAACGAAGGCGCGAAATTCTACTGAGTAATCATATTCCGGACCTCATTTCCTTGTCTTGTATTAAACACATGACATTTATATTGACGGCAGTGAAGTTTTCAAACAATATTCTGACCCTATAAATTGAGAGTTGTTGTTTCGGTATAGCGTTTCCTCAAGTGACGGACGAAGAATAGTTGAAGCTTCGCAGTTACACTCATTGCAACGGCAGGCGTTAAAAGTGCTGCTCCGTTCGTTATCGGTGAAGAAGCGTCGTCATGCACTGAGCGTCAAGTGTGTTTGTTAGCATAGTTGGTACTTGCCTACTGACATACTTTAGCAACGAAATAGCATATACTCAAAATAAAGAAACAAAGCAAGAAACAGCCAGCCACATGTTGTTCTGTGTTTCTTTACTCGGCGTGTACGTGTGCTGTTTCGTGGCTAAAATATGTCATTGAGCGTGAAGTGAGAGATTCCGAAACAAGGAACCGGTGAGAGCCGGGGCTGCTTGCTGCTTTTTTTTTCAGTGTGTGGAAGTTACAGGACTGTAATTTGGACCGACGTATCTGAGAACACAACTGTGTTGTGTAACTTACCGATGCAATGACCATGATATAGCCGACGTAAATGAGAACCATCTGAACCACATCCGTCCATACCACAGCCTTGATGCCACCCTGTAGTGATATAGAAAGAAGAGAGACAAAAAAGAGGAAGCGTTATGTACATACATTTCAACAAAGACGCACACGGGCACACGAACAGTCTTATAAGGGTTGTAGACATTACTGTCACTACAAAATTTAACCAGTCACACAGATTGCAAATTTGAGAGAAAAAAAACATGACTGATTCTTCTTATTAGAAATCGGTATAACACGAATATTACGCGCGTCTTCACCGGGATATTTGAGCGGTTCTTTTGCAGTGTTTTGCGAGAAGGGCAAAGAAATAAATACTAAAGAAACAAATTGCGATTTCATGCGAAGAAGAGCAAGGAGCTCAAAACCTATAGCGCGCACGTCACGCGGAAAGCACTCACAAAATGAGCATACACAGCACGAGCCCGGACAAAAACTGTCCAAGCTCGACACTTAAAGCGCCCTGCTCTACCAGAAAGAAAGATGCACGAAACAAACGCACAAGTATACACAGGACAAGCGTGAACTGTCACAATTTTTACATCGCGTGTGAGCAGCGTCCTCCTTTCGTAAACGCGGTTGTGGCAGCGAGCGATGTGACCTTCGTGATCTCCTTAATAGCGAGGTTCATCTGACACGTGCGTGCGCAGGAGAAACCATGCCGCTTGAGGGCGCGCGCTTACAGAAATGCTAGAGGAGCCAATGATAAAGCCCCTAAAAGCTTTACCCAACGAGAGCACGCTGCGCCATCTCGCTACTGTTGACGAAAACACAGGGAAGTTGAGGAGCTATGAGAGCTCCTAGCGGTATATGGTGTATATAAATGGCTTGCCGTTAGCAAGCTCCATAACGAACGCTTCATTGCTTAGTGGCTTGCGTCGCGTGCTGCAAGATGAGAGATCGCTGGTTCAATGCTCGCTACAGAACTTTCTCAGCTCGCTTTTTTCTTTTGCATTCGCTTAGTATATACTTTACTATGTTACATTCGTAACAAAAATAAGTCAGCTGAGCCATGGAGAACCCTGGCATAAAACACTTTCGTGTTAAACAAAAAGAAAAAAAATGAAAACAATGAGGACGCAAAAAAAGACAAGAGCGCAGCACTATCTCATGTCTTCGATGGCGACCTTTTTCTTTCATCACTAGAGCTTACATCTGTGAAGTACCACCTAGACTACCAGTCAGATTTGTCAGGCACAAGAACAGCCTGTCTGTAGATAAACTATACAAGTGCAATTTGTAAACGAAGATACATTTCATGTGATGTTGTGATGGAACCTTGCAAAAATTGTAAAGTTGACTTTCTTGCTATGCAATCTAGACAACTAATGGCGGTTAGTTACGTACTGCAAACACCCAGTTCATGCGTGGTTTGTGCAACGACGGGGAAAACGTAGCGCTGTCTCTCTTGATATAAACACTATTAAGAGACAAACCACAGCACGTTCAACTAAGACCGCCACCAATTCTTGTACAAATATGGAGTGCAGAGAAGCGCACTTACGAATTATGAAAAGGGTTGTAATGCCTTTGTACGCTGCAGGGTAATTTACGAATACCGTATATTACCTCGCCGAAGTGCGGCTAAAATACTATTGGGAAGAGGGATTTATGCTATATTTAATACGCTATATATTACTATTATTATTAATATATAATACTATTATTAATATAATAATAATATATATATTAATAATATATAATAATAATATAATAATATTATTATAATAATAATAATATATAATACTTTTATTAATATTAATATATAATACTATATGCTATATAAATACTATTGGGAAGAGAGATTTATGCTATATTTAAATTCATGCGTGCGTTTTTATGAGTGTGTGTATATATACGCAAACAAAACTGGAAACTTCAGGGGGTGGGGAGGGGTTGCATCCCATCCATTCGAATAAAGAACAAAAGAAAAAAAAATAAAATCCGTACTGTACTACTTCCAGTTTTGCAGATAAAAGTCTTCAAACAGAGCGTTTGACAAAAAAAAAAAAAGCTTTGCACTGAAAAACACAAAAAGAAAGCAGAATGAAAATACACTGCTTGAGGTGAGCCAGAGTCTGGCCCACATGTCTTTCGGAAGGTATTTAGAGTTCCGCGGTGGTTCTTCATACACGTGCGTTTACATTTCATGTTTCACGGGCCCGATGCATACGTAGGCTACATGAATATGCATTCCTTCACAAGAGCGAGTGATTACTTGATAACGCTACTGTACTCGGGTTTACGATGTAGCGAAAGCTTGCAAATACAACACTTACTATGGCGGTGTAGAAAGTGCACACGATGCCGTTCAGTAGGATGGAGGACCATACAGGTATGCCTGTCACTGTAAGGCAAAAGAAGCGGCGCTTATTTAATTGATTGAGAAGGTATGTCGTTTACGAGGCACAATGTCTCACTCATTCTGGGTGGCTGAATGCCTGAGAATCCCCAATAACCGGCATATTTTCTTTCATGACATGTATAACAATGTGGCAGGGTCATAGTCGGGAGTCTTTGTCGGGGAGGGGGGGAAGCACCTACTTTAGGTCCTGCAAGAACAATCATTTTTATTATTTGTACAAGGTAAAACACCCTCCTTAATCCGAATTTTCAGGGGATAAAGCAGTGACTACGTGCCTGCGGTGTGGTATCGGTAATAAACCATGCGTACTTAAACCCTCAAATTGTGATCACAATACAGTGTCATATTTACATTGTGTGCCTTCCTCGATGTACCGTCATCCCGGCTCCCAACACCCATTGCGATGCCTCTACACGTATTTTTTATCTAATAGGGAACGAACGCCTGCGGTCTCACGTACAAATAAACTTTCAGAGTTGTTATTGGCTCGTTCACGCGTGTTTAATATTGCTCCGGATGTAACACTTACTACTACATTTTTAAAATTATGCCTCCCAGAAAACGTTGGAATGCTTGTAAGCACACAGAAAAGAGAGAGGTGGATATAAATATTTAAAAAAAAAGAGGAATGGTCAGCCTGGACGATATAAAGCAAGGCTTTGGTGATACAAGGCTCTCGGCACCAAAAATATTTGTATCATCCGAACGTCGTATCACCACAAAACATGAAAAATTAGTTTACATTGAAAGAAAGCTGGCATATACTTTAACATTTATTGGTTTCCAGGGCGGCAGCACTGTTAAAAACAGTTATGAATGACTGCTGGGTATTCGTAAATATGTGGTGTGTGTAAATAATGAACCCGATGTGCCATGATCCGTAACAGCTAGTGGCTCCTCCCAAATCTTAGTACGCTTTTTGCACAACAATACAGTAATGCGGAAAAGACCACTTAAAGAACGCTTTGCATGTGATAGATGAAGGTCAGTCCATTTTAGAACCACTCTTCATTTATTTGATATTTCCTTATCGCAATAGTGTTGGGGATGTTCTTCGGGATATCTATGGCCGTGTTCACAAAATTGATAGAATTGATAGAAGTCTCCCGTGCAAATCGGTGAGTTTGTAGGTGTGCGCGTCCCCAACAGTCAACGTCGGCGACCACCAAGTTGACCTCACTTTGCGTGTAAGGAGGTTGGCCAGGCGTGGGAAAGATGCGCGAGCTTGTTTGGGGACAGTAAAAGGAATCAGAGCTTGTTGACTGGCCTTTTCAGTGCGATCGCGCGTAGGTGCATGCACAAGCCACAGGCTCCCGCGGCGGCGTGGTAACAACCGAGCACGCCATGCTCAAATCAGCCAATGGCTGTTACTTGGCCTGTGACGAGTAATTTTTGAGCTTGTAACGTCATTTGTCAAGAAAAGCTCACTTTGAGAATTTATTGTGAATTCCATGTGACGTGCCAAATATTTGGCTAGTGTGTTTTCGGGAGACTCGACTACAATCGGCTGCGTTTTATGACCATGCTCAAAAAGTGTTGCAGGGCCCCCTCAGGAAAACCGGAAGGAAATACTTGACTGTAAGTGCTTGGAAGACAAACAATACTCGTGCCTCCAGAAAAGGTGTTGTTAAATCCTCGGAGAATCATAGCAAACGAAGCGCATATTCGTATGTGGCATTGTCTCGAATATGAAATTATATTTTAACTCGACAGTGAAGGCGTTCAATATCATACGGAGGCGTAGCTATGCCGACAACCTTACACCGGTATCATGCGGGGACACGCAATCTTGTTCAGGAGTGATCGGGTGCAATACGATCGCTACTTCGCTGTCGTCAGCGACAGGCACGATCTGGATCATGCTGCCGTGTAGCAGCGACCAACATCAATCGTGATTAAGGGAGAAAGGGAGACAGCAAGAAGAGGACATGCAAGTTGGTTAATAAGAGAAGCGTCCGGTTTGTTACCCTGAACCAGAATAAATGAATGGGGATACAAAAGAGAAAGAGAGAATGACAGCGCTGCACATATACAAAGAATCAAGAAATTCGATTCGGATTGGCCCTACTCGAGATCGACATATTCCGTGGGACACCGATAATAATTTGAGCATGACGGGAGAAATTTAGCGATTAAGCATTATGAATGACCTCATTTGGCCTTCAAGTATCAACTTGATATGCAAGTATATGGGTTTTATTTAGAATAAAACAAAAGGGGGACAGGCGGTGCGTCACGCTATACTATACTCAAGACCATATGTCATTGGTAAATAAGCGAAAGCTGCGGGGACGGAGCTTCTGCACATGTACTTAGTATTCCTACGCGAAGTAGACCAGTACAGTGCGTGTTTCGCACCACTGTGATGGCTGCGCGCAATCATCGCTTCACTTCGGTACAGAGGGCGTGCTTGGAATGTACCTCACAAGAGTGGAAGCTTGGGCTAGTTGGTGCGTAGTCATATTTGCAAGATTGTTTCAGCGCGCGAACAAAGGAAGAAGGACAGGGTAGACAGAAAGAGTGCTGACTTCCAACTAACTTTATTTCACAGAGTGGCAAGAATATATACGTCTAAAAAAGAGGATTACAGAGCATGAACAGGCTGAACGTGATTACCTGGCTGGGCTTTGAGGCAGTAGAGGACCCGTCACACGTGCCTTGTTACTGGTGTGTAGATTAGGCTTGCTTTTTACCTTCATGCTTTGTAATCATCCTTTTTAGACGTATATATTCTTGCCACTCTGTGAAATAAAGTTAGTTGGAAGTCAGCGCTCTTTCTGTCTACCCTGTCTTTTTTCCTTTGTTCGCGCGCTGAAACAATCTTGGAAATATGGCGCGCTTGGCATTTGAAAACTCGTGAAAGCCTCAACTTTCTCACAACGCCTAAAAATAAACGAACACATACATTTCACCGTCGTGGGCTGCGTGCTGTCTGCGACAGCTGCTTGTAGAAAATACGGGAATTATTTTTTTTATATTTCATGCAGGAAAGTGGGGGACTGCATTCGTCATAGGTAGGGTATGCATGATTTGGGTGTTTAACCTTCACTTCATCACCAAAAAAATTGTTGATGAGCTGATTGTTTTATTTTTGCTATAAAGTGCACATTTTCTCCAATCTATTTTCGAAACCGGCATGTTCAGTGACTTGATATAATTCCACTCAGGGTGATGCGCCTGCTCTGTGCAAAAAAAAAAGAAGGAAAGAAAAAAGTGTGTATATATAATCTTACCAGATCCTAGAGCCAATGAAGGGCCGTAGAGCACAACACCCATGTAAAGCAGCTGCAAAATCCAAGAAAATTGTTTAAATTGTATAAATTAAACAATGTGGAAATGCAAGGTTCAACCTTTGCGCAATCAAACGTCACAAATGGAGGACAGAGGAGAGGAGTGGGCAAATGTGTCAGTGTATTACTGGTGTTGCTTCGTATTGGCAATACGAAATAAGAAATAAGGGCATGCAGTTGTTCAAGGAGCCCGTTTCTTTGTTAGGTACACCCAACAAAACCAGTAAATGGCTGTGCTAAAGAAGGAACGAAATATATTACTAGCTTTTTTTAAACTGTATAGTGCAATAATTCAGATCTAAATAGAAATCAAGTAAATGGGACAATAAAGCACCCTTTCTGTCGGTGGGACCCAGACCCCCAAACTTCCATTTCGGGCTTTGTTAATTTTTTACAATATAATGAGTAAATGTAATGTATATCGAGAAGTGCAAGTGCAGTGTACTGGCTTTATGGTATGTTGATCCCCCCCCCCCCCCCTTTTTTTTTTGCTCTCACGTTTAAACGAGTGTGAGCACAAAAACAAAATGAACAAATTCATGTATACAGATAACTTGCAGTTGCGCCTGAGAGTGGCAGTTAAACATTGCCTGTAAATGTACCTCCAGAGTAGCTGGTGTCAACGTACACCATCTGTCGAGTTTTGTTTTTCGAACGATGTTGCGAGACGAGTATTTTCACAAGTGAAAACGAAGCATTGTGACGAAGTAAGTTCATTCGATAAAGAAAAAAAAACAGGATGGTGGCAGGCATGAGTTGTGTGAGGAACTGCCGATATACAACGCAGAGCAAGGCGGTGCTATCGTATATCGATCGATTTCGGAACAGTGGCGAACGATGGTCACTTACCGTTTGCACGATGAAGACGGCCGAAGCGATGTTTCTTACAGCAGTTGACATGAACCTCTTCTCCAAATACTGAAACAAAGATATTGTGTCGTTAATTTTCTCTCAAAGTAAAGCTTGCACATGCAGTCCAATTTTGAGTTATCTTTCTTGGTATTGTCACAAGTGGTAGGACAAGTGAACGCTTATTTCCCGGTTATTCACAGCGCGTCACGAAGCAGTGGAGATAACAAAACACTGATAACAAAGAAAATGTTGAAAAAGACGATTAGGGTGATTATGACAATGGTGAGGACCTAAAAGGCAGGGGCATTCATTGTTGTGTTTTTGAGGGTCAGCGAGAGATAGAGACAGAAAGAAGAAAAAAAATGTTATAAATAGATGTTGCCCAGACGCATGTCCCACTTACAAATATGCGCTGAGAAAAATAGATAGAGGACGCAATACAAGGTGTATCCGACACCACTTCACCAAGCCTATGGGCAAGTTTTTGAGAAGACATTTTTTTTCTTCTGTCATCACTTTCATGTGGTGCCCTCTCAAGACAGTCGATCTCTTAGACCACTCGAAACAGGCCGCTTTGACTACAGTATACTGCAAGAGCTTTCCGATGGTTGATATGTGGGGTTTAACGTCCTTAAACCACCATATGATTATGAAAGACGCCGTAGTGGAGGGCTCCGTAAACTTCGACCACATGGGGTTTTTTAACATGCACCAAACACTGAGCACATGGGCCTACAGCATGTTCGCCTCCATTGAAAATGCAGCCACCACTGCTGGTATTCGATCCCGCTACCTGCGGGTCAGCAGCCGAGTAACTTATATAACCACTAGACCACCGCATCGGGGCACGCAGCGCTACCTCGCCGGATTTCATTAAATTCTGTAGAGCTGTCATATAGGGGGGGGGGCAGCAGCTATTGAATTCGCCGTCTGGCTTTTGAGATATGTACGCAAAGGAGATGTATTATATCTGCTCAGCACAGCGACTCCCGTTGCGTGCATCACGTAGAGATATTTTCACTCAAAGGTCGTGAAGCTTGTTGTCCTTTGTCTAGCATCATTATTTAATCCCCTTACACCTGTCCCACCTCATCAACAACAGCAACCAAGTGTCGGTCTTTTCTTTCAGTAAATGTCACAGTCAATCATTCAATCTGTCATGAGTACTAGCTATGACGCCCGGAGAAGTAGTTCATCGTCAGAGCTAGTTTTCTTTTTTTATCATACTCTTGTTGCAACGTACAATGATTTCATTGCGAGGACAATCATATAGACACTCTCGGTGAATTTTCGCTGTAGGCGTAACCATCAAATTCCAAATCAATGATATCACCCGTGCATCGTATATTCTAAAATCTTGTCATTTTTAAAGTATTTCACAAGAGTATATATTAAGCAAAAATACTAATAATAATAGGTATATTGCTAGTAACTGCTTAATCGTGCGTTTTGAAAACCAGGCTATATCTTGTAACAGATTTTTCTGGCCAGCTTCGTTGTTTCAGCGGTTAGTTATTTATTATGGCTAACTAAACAGTTGAGTTCAAGAAAAAAAAGTGCGAAATACTCCATGCAACAGTCAGCTACATGCGTTGGGTCACGTTGTCATCATCACTTTTGAAACTGTGGTTAAAAACAGTTGTAACACTCTGCAGAATTCTGCGTAAAAAGACACGTTAACTATCTTTTGTAAGGCCAACAGTCTCCCTACTTTCAAGAGAGAGCCCGATTATCTCCAAGGAGACAAGTACTGCTGGCTGGGCGAGTAGGTGCATGATAAATTGATATTGATTTAGCGCAGCTCAGTTTGAGCGTGAAGGATAGATACTAAGCTTACGAACACCAAGAAGGAGGTGCAACCCACCTGTGGAAAGAAACATGTAACTAAGTTTGTTGATTGCGCCCTAGCTTTTGTGTGCATGTTCCTGCGGCCGTGTGGCGTTATTTGCATTGGGCAGACTGGTAGGTGTGTTAATTACCGCTTGCGCGAGCACTCTTGCAATCTAAAAAACAGATTTATTCTGGTGGTTTCCTGGTTATACATCGTAATACGTGTGAATGCACTCCATTCTCTGATCAGTGTGTCATCTTGGACCGCAGTCGTAACCAGTTGACACGGGAAATTATTGAGGCAAACGCTATCGCAAAATGTGCGAAGCTGTGTGTCAGTACGCCGTCTGTGGCCTTATCTCAAAAAGAGCTCAATTTTCTGCAGCGCGTTGTTATGCCTGCGAGTCCGCAGCAAACATCCAGCCTCGGAAAAAAAGAAATCTGTGTCAAGGCCAGCACGCGAGCCCGCCTGACACGATGAACAGCTCAACGGCGTCAACACGCGACGGTGCCTTTCTGTCGCCCACGCGCAGTGAGTCATCTCAGCTAGCGAGCCGTCGAATAAACAACCGGCGTCTTCCTGTCTGGGGAGGGGGGTGACGCAATGCCTGGCGACGTCACTCGTCCTTGAGTGCAGCCACCTGCAGCGCAGCCTCTCCAGATTCGATGAGAAAGAATGACGCGGCCCAGCGGTGACCCCATTGGTGGATTCTAACCTCACGACCAGCGGCGCTTCTGGTTGGACATTTGGGTTGGACCCGGTGCATATAAATGAAGCCCTGCGGCGCGTCGAGAGCAGACCCATTTGAGAGTAGAGCTATGTGTTAGAGAGAAGTGCTCGGCTCTTCGCGTCTCTGTCGGCCCCAGTGCCGAATTTGTAACGCCTCTGTATATATATGCTGTACATAAACCTTGTTTCACTCACCGTCGTCTCGTCCGCTCGTCTATCAGCTCTGCGCAGAAGCAGTCGCGAGCTGAGAAATCTACGCTACCAAACGGCTGGTGTCCTTCCCTGCGGAGTTCGAAGCAGTGGCGCCTTCGGGACCGTGTTGGCGTCGCCGTCTTTCGAAATAGTGGTTGCAGCGGTGAGATTCGTAGCGCCCTTCGTAACGTCGTCGGAGGCGCGCGTCGCAACAGTGCTTGGCAGCTGCGGGATCGGCCGGCGTCAGCGACATCGATGCGGTGAGTGCCTGTTGTTTTCCCCTCAGTTCACCAGACTACTCTAGCTCAGGTTATAGTCGTTTAGAGAAGGGCTGTGTGAAGCATTAGAGTGAGCTTTGATCGTTTCAAGCCAAGTCGAAGCGCTTTGAAACCAAAGTTAATGCGGAGGGTGTAAACACGGGAGTGTTTAATATTGCTTGCGCGTCTTGCTAGTAGGCTTATAGCGGGTACGGCAAGTAGATTCTTAACAGGGGCAAACAGCAAGAGGCTATTGTGAACGATGGAGAACCTTAAAGTGAAAGAACTCATCGAAATTTGTGAGAAACTCGGCATTACTTTGGGCCGTGCGAAACGAAAGCAAGCGATCCTTGAGATCATGAGGAATGAAGAAGTGTCGGCTGAGGAAGTTGATGAGGCCTGGGCGGATATCAAAGCACGCCGCGAGGAGGCTGAAAGGCGAGAAGCTCGCGAACGTGAAGAAGCTGAAAGGCGAGAAGCTAGCGAACGTGAAGAAGCTGAAAAGCGAGAAGTTCGTGAAGAAGCTGAAAGGCGAGAACACCGCGAGGAGGCCGAGAGACAGGAGCGTCTCGAGTTAAAACGAATAGAATTGGCAATACTACAGTGTTCGCAGGCGCCTAGCGTAGCTTCTCCGACAGTTCAGGTCAGTGATCAGAGAATTCGCGACCAACTGCCACCGTTCGTAGTAGGCGAGGACATGGCGAAGTATCTCGACAAGTTTGAACAAGTCTGTGAGCGAAATGTTTTGGAGCGGTCTCTTTGGGCGCAGAACCTGTTAGCTCTTCTTCCTGGTGAAGTGTCCGACGCGATAACTTGCTTGTCGAGGGAAGCGTTTGAGAGCTATGACGAGGTTAAGGAAGTGCTCTTGAGACGTTATAAGTTGTCACCCGAGGCTTTCAGGCAAAGGTTCCGGTATGCTAAAAAGGGGAATAAGTCACACGTTGACTTCGCGTTTCGTCCTAAAGCCGATTTAATTGAATAGCTCAAGGGCGAAGGTGTTTATGACGACCGCAATAAAGTGGTGGAATGCGTTGCATTGGAGCAATTCTACTGCTTCATCGAGGAGGATGTCAAACTTTGGCTGTAGGACAAACTTGGTGAAGTACAGCTAAACAAGGCAGCAGAGTTAGCTGAGGAGTATTATACTCGCCGAAAGTTGCATAGCAGGGCAGTGCGCGTTGAAAAGGATGAAAGGAAAGAGGGCTTTTCAACGAAACCTGATGAACGGAAACCCACTCCGCATCGTAATTTCAAGAAGGACCCGTCTCTTACGAAGGACACTGTAGGGGAAGGGCAAACAGAAGCGGAGAAATCGAGTGAGGTTCCTAAACAACGCACTGATACCACACGGGCGTTTGAATCACGGAAGCAACTAATCTACTACAACTGCAAAAAGGAAGGGCACATCGCGATAAACTGTAAGCAAAAGTTTGCTTTTGCAACAATCCGAGAATAGGAAAAGAGCATACGGTTGTTAGAGCCGTATATCCAAGAAATTAGTGTGAATAGGAAAACGTGTCGAGCACTTAGAGACTCCGCGGCAACCATGGACGTTGTCCATCCTTCATTGGTGTCTCCGGATGAATTTACAGGAGTATGCGCGTGGATCAGGCAAGTCGCCGAGAAGCAGAGTGCTTGCTTACCAATCGCCACGGTTGTCATTGAATGCCCGTTCGGTAAGCTTCACACCGAAGCGGCTGTGTCTGTCGCGCTTCCCGATAGTTTTCCTTATCTTTTTTCTAACAATTCAGAGCAGCTTCTCAAAGAGCAGGGTAAATCCTTCTTCCCCAACTTGGTGTACATGGCCCTCACGTCATCGCAAGCGCGGAAGCTTTCGCAGGCGCTTGATCTTGTTCAATGCGGTGGACTCTCAAGTGACCTTGTCGGCGGGTTGACGGAACCTCAGAGAGGAAATTTTTTGCGTGAGTCATGTGAGCAGTCACGCGAGTGGCCCATCGCCGAAGCGACCGGCGCGGTTTCCGTAGCGGGGGGAGACGACATGGCGCCATTGAGTCAGAGTGAAAGGGGCGCAACGCTCTCGCCTGTGGCGGAAAGTT